AGGAGTCCAGGCCCCCAGCCCCTCCTCCCTCAGACCCAGGAGTCCAGACCCCCAGCCCCTCCTCCATCAGACCCGGGGTTCTCCTGCTTCTAACACTCACACACTCCAGACTCCAGTGATAGCGGAAAAGGCCAGGAAAGCGGGCAGCACAGACAGGTAACCCCACATGCCGGGCTCTGCAGGGGAAGGAGAGGGACCACAAACCTTTCTCTCTCTCTCTCTCTCTCTCTCAGGTGAGGAATCTGCCCTGTGGGTCCAGGTGCATCTGAAGGTGGCCTCCCAGCTCTGAGCCCCTCCAGCTCTGAGGCCCCTGTTGGCTCCCAGGGCAGAAACAGTGGATGAGGCCCTGGTCTGCTGAGACCAGCTCTCTGCATTCGGCGCTCTCCATCCTGTAACAGCTGTCTTCCCATCCTGACCTCCCAGTTTTATCAGACTGGCCTCCCTCAACCCAGCTTCAGAGCCTCTCCCAGCCAGCCTCTGGGCTTCCCCAGAATGCTCACCTGTCGGAACTTCCTTCTCGCTCTCCCGGTCCTGGGCCCGGGGCTGTGGGAGAGGTTGGAAAAGGAGAGGGGACGTGGGGTAGGGCTTGGGCGGTGTCGTGGCAGAGCCAAAGTCCAAGCTGCGGAGCAGTCTGACTGCCTGACTGTCCGACCCGCCACTGTGTTCGGGACCTAACCCTGCACCACCACTTCCCCTCTCAGAACCTAGCAGGGAGCACCTTACTTAGCTTCAAGGGGCCCTCAACTTCCTTCAGCTTTAAAATTTCAATGTCCAAGTGCCCAGCCCGTGTCCTCCCCAGGACCCAGAATCTGAGCCTCTAGCTCTCTCCACCCTTCCTCCCTTGGGGACCCAGAAGTCCAGGCCCCCAGTCCCTTCTACAATTCCTGCATTTGGTTCTAGCCCCTGGGGTCTAGCCTCCTAGCTCTTACCTTCTCTGGGGCCCCAGAATCCAGGCCCACAGGTCAGACTCCTTCCTGGGTGCAGTTTGTGTCCTTAGGCTGTTGGGGATGGGGCTGTGTTGACCCTGCCTCCTCCTCTCACTTGCCGTCCCCTCTCCCTTCCTCTGGGCCAGCTCCTGGAATTCCCCAGTGGGCAGGCTCAGGGTGGGAAGGGAGGCCTTGGTGTCGAAATTGCCATCCAATGAAGCTTCCGCCAAAAGCAATTGCTTCCTCTGCCCTGATCATATTTTTCTGTATGTCACATAGCAACCCTCGTCTTGCCGGTTTCCTCCCCTCTTGGTAATCAGACATTTGGGCCCCAGCCTCCTCCAGCTTCCCCTGGACCCGGGAGCCCAGGCCCCCAGCCCCTCTTCCCTCAGACCCAGGAGTCCAGACCCCAGCCCCCTCCTCCCTCAGACCCAGGAGTCCAGACCCCCAGCCCCTCCTCCCTCAGACCCAGGAGTCCAGACCCCAGCCCCCTCCTCCCTCAGACCCAGGAGTCCAGGCCCCCAGTCCCTCCTCCCTCAGACCGAGAAGTTCCAGCTCCCTTCTCCCTCAGCAGCCCACCTCTTTTTTTTTTTTTTTCAATTTGTGGTAAAATTCAGAAAACAAAAGTGAACAGTGGCATTTGGTACAGTGCCAGGGTCGTGCAACTATCACGTTATTTATCTCCAGAACTTTCTCCTCACCCCCGAAGAAACCCTGTACCCACCAAGTGTAGGCACTCCCCATTCGCTCCTGTCCCCAGCCCCTGGCCACCTCCAGACTGCTTTCTGTCTCCGTGGATTTGTTAATTCTGGACGTTTCACCCACGCTGAGTCTCATCCGCGTTGTAACACACACCAGCACTTCAGCCCCTCCCCGGGCCGGAGAGAATTCCACTGACCCTATGTCTTTGGGGACTCAGACGTCTGAACCCACCTTTTCTCCCTGTGATCCCGCGCTTCCACGGCCACAGCAGCGAGGACTTGAGGCTGTCGGCTTCCTGGAGAGTGCAGATGAGACCGTGCAGGTGCAGACACACAGACGTGGCACAGCCAGCCAGCAGCGGAGCCAGGGTCTCACCCCTGCCCACAGTGGCTTCCCAGGCTGGAAGGTGGCCAGTCTTGGACCCAAAAATTAGAATACAGGTGTTATAGTGAAGGTGGCACGAGGCATGGTGGCTAACTAGCCACGGTGTCCGGCGCATACTGGTGGTGAGGGAAGGCCCGGAAAGTCTCACAGGCCATACTTAGGAGGAGGGAGAGCGAGAGTGTGCAGGCTGCAGGAATGCTTCCTCAGAAGAGTTCAGGGGGCCACCAAAACCTGGCCTGTGGGGGTCGGGTGCCTTTGTCTGCTGGGTTACCAGGAGACATGAGCCAGGCCCCAGAGTCTGCATTGCCGTAAAGGGCTTGGTCATTATCCTGAGGGTACTGCGGAGCCATGGAAGGTTCTTGAGCAGAAAAGACCGAAAGGAACTGATACTGTGTGTAGACAGGAAGGAGGTACAATAATAATAAGCATTAAAACATCTACAGTGCCAGGCACTGCCCAGCAACCCTGGAGGGGGTGGATCTGGAATAATGGAAGACTCACCCTTCCAGAAGATATCAGAAGATCCAGAGTTTTCAAATCCCAAGACTTGAGTTCAAATCCCATCTCTGCCACCTAGGAGCTGGATGCCTGCATGAGCTTTCGGAGGCTGCTCTAAGAAAGTACCCCAAATTTCATGGCCTAGGGCAACACAAATTTAGGGGCACCCGGGTGGCTCAATGGGTTAAGTGTCTGGCTTCAGCTCCGGTCATGATCCCAGGGTCCTGGGATTGAGTCCAGCATCGGACTTGTTGCTCAGCAGGAAGCCTGCTTCTCCCTCTCCCTGTGCCTGCTGCTCCCCCTGCTTGTGCTTTCTGTGTCAACAAGAAAAAAAAAATCTTAAAAAAAAAATCCTTAATGGAGTATATGTGCAAAGTCGTTTTTGCTGCATAAAGTGCCCTAGTCACATGTCCTGGAGAGGAAGGCGTAGACATTTTGGGGACCACTATGCTGTCTCCCACAGCGTCCCTGGATTGGGGACTTCATTTTCTTCCATCTGTAAGATAGAGCTCGCAGCATGGCTCTGGAGACGGACTTCCTGCTGGTAACAAGGAAATTACGAGTGAAGATGGAGTCACTTACGTGAAGGGTCCCAGGCAGCAAAACAGGACATAATTCTAACCTAAGAGCGGCTTCAGCCTCCCCGCCCCCTCCACACCGCCCCTCCCCTCCAAAGATAGTTAACATTCACCTAGCCCACCTGGAGTGCCCTGGTTAGCACTAGGAAATGCACGCAGAGACCCTTCCACTCCCCTGCGGAGGGCAACCTCGCCATGAAACAATGCATTCTTCGCTAAGAATTTTCTTTTCTGCTCCCTAGGGACCTTTAAAGACCATTCCTTTTTGGGGGCGCCTGGGTGGCTCAGCGGGTTAAGTGTGTGCCTTCAGCTCAGGTCATGATCCCTGTGTACTCTGGGCTACTTTCAATCTGGAAATAGACCCCTACCACTGTGCAGGCTTGCGGGGGTGGGGGCGCCCCTCTGGACTCTTCCAGATCCTTCTGGAAACATGTGGTTGCCGGTGGGCTCCTCCGAGGGGAGGAGGCTGCACATGGCCTTCCTCCGTGTGACATGATACTTCCGCGTGTAGGAAACCATGTCTGGTTCGTTGTGAGGACGTTTTTTCCCAGAGAGGGGAAGCTGCCCGCGCAGCGGATCTCTGTTTTGTCGCCTGTCAAAGCAAGGATCCTAAGGGTGCCCCCGTCACATGCCTGTGAAGGTTCAGGAGGGAGCCTGCGGGGGTACGAACATTTTGGGGTCCCCCGAGTCACCGTACTTCTGAGAAGTTGTGCCACTTCGTGGAGTAGATGCTTGGCACTTAGGGCATCTTGCTGTGTTATCTGGTGCTGGAGATGTTGCAATGGTGTTTGCAATACAAGGGATTTACCTGAGGTGGGGGGGGGGTGTGGCGATGCCAGGAGAGATAAAGGGGAGAAGGAACAGGGCTGGGCCAGGAAGTGGGTGGGCCACCTTTGGAAGAAGAGGGGGAAGGGAGGTGTGGGTAAGAAGAACCTTCCAAGAAATCTCAGCCAGCCAACAGGGCAGGGGAATCGCAAGGATTTCTTGTCACAGATCCGTAGAAACAAAAAGTAGACTGGTGGTTACCAGGGGCTGGAGGGAGGGGTGGATGGGGAGTGATTGCTTAATCCCCTCTCTTTGGGGTGGTGAAAATGTCTTGGAAGCAGATAGAGGATGGGCGCTTGCACAACAGCGGTACTAAATGCCTCTGGATTATACCCCTTAAAATGGTTAAAGTGGTGAATTTTGTGGTGTGTGAATTTTACTTCAGTTATAAAAGAAAAAGGGGCGCATGGGTGGCTCAGTACGTTTAGGGTCTGACTCTTGATTTCAGCACTGGTCACGATCTCAGGATCAGGAGGTGGAGCTCCACAGGGATTCTGCTTCTCTCTATCTTCCTCTTCCTCTGCTCCTCCCCCACTCCTTGCACATGTGCTCATTCGGGCGTGTGCTCTCTCTCTCTCTCCCTCTCTAAAAATGAATAAAATCTTAGGGTGCCTGGGTGGCTCAGTCACTTAAGCCTTCAGCTCCGGTCATAAATCTGGAGTCCTGGGATGGAGCCCCCATCTGGCTCCCTGCTCAGCAGGGGAGCCCGCTCCTTTCACTTCCCCTGCTTGTGTGCACTCACCCTCTCAAATAAGTAAAATCTTAAAAAAAAAAAAAAAAGAAAGAAAGAAAGAAAGAAAGGAAGGAAGGAAGAAAAACAGAAAAAGTACCTTTGGAGGAGCCACATTAGGTGGGAATGACCAGGCCCTAGTACCCCCCCACCCCCACCTGTGATGCTTAGTCATGGTTGGGGGCTGCCAGAAAAGAACATAACCTTGATCCAAACAAAATAGTAGTTACCAGTGCTGCACCTTGGGGCTGTCCACCAAAGGTGCTCTTCAGGGCTAATTAAGCTCTTTCTTCCAGAGAGTTCCACCCTGGCTACTTCACAGGCCCAGTATCACTCAGCTACTGACTGGAGGAGCTGGGGCCAGAGCACAGATCTGTCTGATTCCAAAATTTGGTTCTTTCCCATATTTTCATTCTCCTTAAATCTCCCAACACACCATCTCCCTTCTTATTCCCAGTCCATGAACATGGTATGTATCTCCCTGTTTTGGATCTTCTTTAAGATCTCTCAATAATGTTTTACAGATTTTTCTTGAAGTAGTTTTGGATACCTTTCACTCAATTTATTTCCCCTTACTGGATATTTGTAAAAACTATTGTAATCCATACTGGTTCAATTTTAACTTTAGAAGTTAGTTTGTTGTACAAAAAATGGTTAATACAGCATATCTGAATCAGCTATCATGTTTGCAAGGTTTGCCTTGGCCTGGTGTCTGCGGAATTGGCTGTTGAACTATTCTGGAGACCTGGACTGTTTGTGCTAACCCTGTGGTAATGCTGAATGCCTGCTTTCCTTCTGGGAGTCTGGAATTTTGCTGCCTTCTAAGCAGTGTTTGAATGATTAGTCAGCAAGAAGAACCTTGGGTGCTGAGTCTTTAATGGGCTCCCTTGGGCAAAAACATCACACGTTTTGCTGCATTTTTTAAAAAGATTTTATTTACTTATTTCACAGAGAGAGAGAATAAGCAGGAGAGCCTCAGGCAGAGGGAGAGGGAGAAGCAGGCTCCCCACTGAGCAAGGAGTACAGTACAGGGCTCTATCCCAGGACCCTGGGATCATGACCTGAGCCAAAGGCAGATGCCCACCAACTGAGCCACCCAGAAGCCCCTTTGCTGAAGTTTTGTTTGGGGAAGGAGCGAGCTCTATTGGTCCTCATGAAGGGAGAGACCACGAGGAAACCCGCATATGAACCTCTAATCTCTGTGACATTTCCCCTCATGATCCTTTATTTGGTACAATAAAGCTTAGCCACAAATACAACTCTGTACTGGGCTCTGTAAGTCCCAGTGAATTTCCAAACATGGGTGGTTTGGGGGACTTTTCAACGCACAGGTAAAAAGACATACAGTTGCTGTTTGTATATTGATTTTGTATCCAGCTCCTTGTTAAATTCCATCCTTAATTCTGATATTTTATCCAGAACTTTTTTGGATCTTCTAGGTACCTAATCATATCTGCAATTAATGGCAGTTTTGTTTCTTTCTTTTCAATTCTTTTTTTTTTTAAGATTTTTATTTATTTATTAGAGAGAGAGAGAGAGAGCCATGAGCAAGCACGGGAGCATGGGGTAGTGGTAGAGCGGGAGGGAGGAACAGATTCCCTACTGAGCAAGGAGCCTGATGCTGGGCTCAATCCCCCACCCCTGCCCC